AAAAAAAATTCTATTTTACAAATTACAACAACACAAAATGGCTAATCAAACACCCGATAAAATTTCAATTATTATTATACCAATCTACATTTTAAACTCATTTCCAACAACATATAATTATTCATATTTTTACTCCAACAAAAAAAACTGTCAATTAATTTATCAAAAACACCACCAAAACCCTAATCACCATAATCCAACAATAACATCAAATTCATAAATAATTCGGATAAATATTCAACATACATTAAACCAACATTTATGATTTTCTAAACAATACTCAATTAACCAAATATATCTCTTAAACATTCATAAACAACCAAAAAATAATATTACATTATATTAAAATAACAACTAACCTCTTCTTCGACGATTGGTTGAAAATTTGTTTTTTTTTTTTAATGGAGCTTGAATTCGCCAAAAAGTAGATGTATTATTATTATTAAATTCGACCGTTTTCTTTTTTAAAAAAAAATAAATCAAAAATAAAAACGGATTATGGGAATCCGTTTTTCTAATAAAAATTTTATTAGAAAAACGGATTCTCAAAATCCGGACGTTTTATTCTTTTCCACAACTTTTTTTTGCCACATATTTTATGTTTTTTTTAAATAAATAATGCACCCAAACAATAACATAATTATAAAAGCCCGATGGAAAACTTATAAAAAAGATAGAGAAATCACTGATAACTAGGGGGGAGGTGAAAGGAAAACGAAAATATTGATGACAGGAAAGATTGATGAGAAGAAATTTGAGCTCCCAATTTGGAGAATCGCAGCCCTAGTTCCCAAAGGAAGAACTACAGGGAATGGAGATTTATGAGCAAATCTATATATATATAATTACTAGCTAACAAAATTTAAGAAAACCTCATAAATTTTACCTAGCTGGCATTTTTTTCGGCCAATTTTCGTTAATTTTTATTTATTATTATTTTTTTATTTTATTAATTCAAAAACAGATCAACTTTGAATTAATTGTCTCTTAAAATTAAAAACAAACTTCATTGACTGTCTTCAAAATTCTGACCGTTACAATAAACACCGTTTTTCATTTTTTTTTTTTTTACCTTACATTAATATATTTTGTTTTCAGTAAAGAATAATTAATTATCCTAATAATCAATAAATGTTTATTATTAAAAAAATTGATTCATTCACCATATTTCAGCTATTTATTGAAAATTTGTTTTAGTAAATATTTTTTTTATATTGTTGACAAATTAATAATATTCCATAATTAATAAGGCACAAGAAAAAATTATACACATAACAAAAATTACAACACATAAAAAATGGAAAAATTCACTCTTTATAATAAATAAATATTTCACCAGCTCATTATATACTTTATTTCAACCTGCAAAAAGAGAAAAACCGTTACTCATTTATTTTAAAAATGTTATTTATAACAAAAAACAAAACATCATATATTCAATAAAAATATCACCATTGTATACATTAAACATTTTTTTAAGCAGAATTTTAGCTGAATTCAATGTCAAATCATTGTATAAAAAAATCAATGTTGTAAATTACTAAAATCAGCATTAAGGTAACCTTTCAGTTACAAAATTATCATCAATTTTTGTCAAATACACAACATGAAGTTACGAACAGTATTTCACATAAAAAGTAATTAGGAACCCACAATAAGTAACCGAAAAAACACTAAAAAAATGCGCCACAATTATATGAAGATATTCAGGGGTCAACATTATCATTAAAAATTCCTTGAAATCAGATCTCAGCATTAAATTATATGTATTTAACTGTAAAATCTAATCTCTTATTTAAGACTCATAATTCCAAGGAAAAAAGAAACTATATAAACCCCTGCCCATCAATCATTTGTACTAACATTGGTTTCGAAAGATAGAAGAAAAAACTATTTTCTCAAATTTTTTTGGGATAAGCCAACTTTACCCAACATCTCAAACAACATGAAGAGATTATCAGCAGCATATGACACATTGCCCAGCAAACACAACAAATTTTAAACAACACAAGATGGTACAGGTTGTCATGTGTATTCAAGATAAAGAAGTATATTGTAATACCTTAGTTGCAGCATTATCTATCTCCATGTTGTGTATGTGCTGTAATCTTTTTTTGCCTAAGCCAAGTAGTTCGGCTTCATGGGATTCTGAATTTTACCTCATTTCTTTCATCATATTGTGTCCAACTTTAACCAATTTCATCTGCATTTAAAAAAAACGGTTAGATTAATGGTATAAAACAACCAAGACATAATTTGCATATGTAATAAAAATTGAAAATGTTACTTATCTTTTATATTGAGAGTTCTTTTCTCTCTTATGATCTACCTATAGAAGTATAGATGATTCGTGATTCATGTTCTATGTCGGATAAATTTTATAATTGACAACATAATTTAAAATTATAAACTTACAATTGCTAGAGTCATATCTTTATCGAAGTTGGTTTTTCACAACATTGTTGAAATTCTCAACCCTGTACAAGCAACAAAAACCTGATTTTACAACAAGTTAAAAAATAAATCATGAGAGTGAAGTATTATTCATAATTCTTTAACACAAATACTACGAAACTACAAAATGACGATTTTTATAAGTTGTTTTCTTCAAATATCAAAACATCAATAATAAATCCACAATTAAGAGCTACATAATAGTGTTCATCAATGAAAAACTTCATACTCTTACATCAAATAAGAAGTTTTTTATATAACAGATTGTTGTCAAAATCGAACACACTAGCAATATAGTCAACAAACTCAAAATATAATTTTTTTGGACAACTTTTAAACAATTCATGTTTCACTACAAAATTATCACAACATAGACACATCAGTTATCACAACATAGATATCATAATGGAACACATCAGTTACCAAAAACTAAACAAATCAGAAATATAGTTATCACACCAAGATAATCTTTATGCATGAATACAAGATTTTCATTGAAACATTTATCTATGTTGTAACAACCATTTTAAACGTTTTTTAATATACCAGATGGAAAAACTGCATGCAAGTCAAATAAATTTGTAAACATAAGTACCTTTTATCTTTCTTCAAGTCGGTTTTTTCAAATTTCTGATGGCCCCTAACATAGTGTGTTCGTCCTTGCATTAAAGGATCAAAAAAATATTTTACAATAAGTAGAAATTAGTTAAACTTCGACATATTTTTAAACAAAATTTTCAAATAATCTGTAATATGCGAACCAAAATTTTAAAAAATAAGGTCCACATTTTTATGACGTATATTAAATCACCGAAGAAATGGTTATAGCACTCTATCTATTAATATGAGCTGAAATTTTTTAAAAAATAAAGAAAGATTATTTTAAATAGACAGAGATATTCATTTTTTAAACAAGAATATATCAAATGTCTTCAGATATTAATAGATCTTTTAAAATATCGCAATGTTTTTAAAAGATTAATATCAAACATACAAAGATATCGTTATGAACCTCATAATTTCTGAACAACTTATAATTGGTCTCAGATCTTAGTAGATCTAATATAAAATTACATATTATTAATAAAACTAAATCTAAATATCTTCGAAATGATCAGATCTAAAAAAAAAAAGTTCAGATCTTGGTAATTTTATTTGTAATCGACAGATTTCAACCGAAAATCTATCAATCGTTAAGTCTATTGTGTAAAATCCGGTTGATTACAAATAAAACTTAAAGAAATATAAAAATATGTTTATCAAAACTTTAGATCTTGACAGATGCTTTTGTAATCGACCGACTTTAACCGAAATACTATAAGTCAGTAAGTCGATTTTGAATAATCGGATCGATTTTTGCTTTCAATCTCGCTTGAAAACACATATTTTAGGTGTTATTTTTCTCTAAAATTTCGGTTGTTCAAATGAACAATCGCCAAATACTTCCTTCATTCTCGGCGAAAAATATTTTAAGAAAAGTAGAGAAATAGAGTTTGAGACGAAGACAGTGAAAAGAGAGATAGAGGCGTAGAGAAAAATTGGAACAGAAGTGGCGAGAATGTAGCCAATTTTTGGGGGTTTCATGCTTTTATCACCATTGCCACGATATGCCACACGAGTCATTTCGGTAGCAAAACATTGGGCTGGTAAATTATGCAACATCTCCTTGCCTTGACACTGGGCTCATAATTGGGTTGGATATTATTTTAATACGGGCCCGATTTTTGGCGTAAATGCAACTCAATATTAAAAAAGAGGTCGATTTTTAATGGTCCAATATATAGCTTTTAAACTTTTGGGATTTCAATTTTTAAATAACTTGTCAAAAATATTTTTATACAATATAAGGTACAATACGTTTTTTTAGTAGTAAAATTGACCTAAAATATTTGCAGTACAAAATTTAATCATTTACATACAAAAATCATTACATGTATAAATTTATTTAGTACATATAATTGTTGTATCTGAAATTTAAAAAAATAAAAATTTAATGTATAATTAACTATATTAATTTTATTATTGTAGGTACATTATCAGCCTACTATTGAAGAGACTTATATTCAATCATGGACAGTTGTATGTGGCGCTATCCAGAGCTACGAGTCAGAGTGTTTGAAGATGATAATAGTGGTGTTGAAGATTCTGATAATAGGAAAAAACCACGAACATTTAGATTTTCTTTTTTAAAACTATTTTATTTCAATAATTATGATATGATTTTTACTATTGTTTGTATTTTTTGTATTTTCTTTTTATTATTTCATATATCATATAGTTTTCCGTATAAATGCACGGGTTAAAACTAGTAAGATATAAAAATACCAAATAAATAAAGACTAAAATAATCCCAAAGGAGACATGTTTATTTGTTTGCATGATGTTGAATTAATAATTTATCATATTTATCGTTTGGTTAAAAAAAGAAAAAAATAAAAATAAAAAGAAGAGAGAGACGGTTGAATAGTTGTCGAATTTTATTTTATATTATGATTTCTTTCTTATAATAAGAATAAGAAAATATGATATGGTTCACAAAATAATTTGAAAAGTGGAAGGGGGTTAATTGTGTGGAACATCATCGTCTCTCATTTCTAAAGCGACGCTTCTCTGTCCGCCCGTCATTATCGCGGTCACCGCCCAACTCCAGTTCGACTGCTAACGAATAAGTGCATATGTAATTTCCCCTTCGTTTGTTTCGTTTTCTTGCAATTATATTTTCATTCGATGTATTTTGAAAGGGTTCTTATTTGCTCTAGAAAAAAGTCTGTTGCATTTATCCCCCATCTGAAAATTTGTGATTCGTACGAGAATATGGGTGTATTAGTTATGATTGTCTGAAAAAAGAGCTTCAATTGCAGGGGTTACTATACATTTGTGCCTGATGGAGAGTTAAACGGTTTCCAATTGATAATTACATAAAAAATAGAAGGAATTGGTTTTTATCGATATTTCCTTTGATTCGAGCTTCTAAGAGCAACAAGGCGAGTTTACATGTCATATTTTGTTTAGACTTTACTTGAATTACTTAGTGTGCTAGGAAATTCCTTTAAGCTTCGGCTTAAGTGTCTAAATTAAGCTAATATCTGTTGTAACTGTTCATCCCGACCTATTTTCTTTTAAAGATACCTTTTGTTTTGCTCGCAGGATAACTCTAAGCTGTTGAGATCCACTCCAAAGTTGGAGTTCTTTAAGCTTCTTAAGGATTAGAATTGGCAAGTGAAAATCCATGACACTGTTGCAGTCGACCTGCAGATACCTGCTGCAAGTCTTGTCCACTCGGGTTCAAAAGTAAAAACCAATCTTTAGTATTACTGTAATAATTATTTTTAACTGATTTGTTTTTTTCGTATGCATTTTTTTTTTCTTTTTTTTGTTGTGCTCAAGATTATGTATTTGTATCCATTCAACTGATTGTTGATTTGTTTGTTGCTCATGTTTCCTTGATCTTGGATGACACTACTGTATGAACTATGAATCAGACGTATTTGATTTTGGATGCTGTCTTCTCTGGTTTACATTGTTGTTAATATAATTTGTTAGGCAACAGAGTGTGAATTTTAGAACAGTAATGAACTCTTTTCTCATAATTCTTCTAGTAGTCAGGTATATGGGGAAATATTTATAAACTATTTATTGCCAGTTATGTTTTGGTTTGTATCATATTTGTTGCAAATAATAAAATTAATAATGTAAATGTGAATAGTTCATATCAATATCAGTGACAGGCATTGATCTTTTCTGTATGTTCGTGTATGTAAAATAAAAAATTATTAACAGAAATTGAAATTGGCTTACTCTCTTCGCTCCTATTCAATACATGTATCTAGAGGTTTTATGCCTTTCTTGATTAATATTTATGCCGAAAACATTCTCTTCTCTCCCTTCTTTTTGTTGACCTGTAAGGATTTCTAGTATAACCATTGCTGTGTCTTCTATACGATCCCATTCATTTTTATTTTTATTACTATTCCATAGACAACATTTGGCTTACATAATTGTGTGGTTTATCTGTTCCTTGATGAACTGCGGATGCGACAATTGCTGATACCTCGTTTTTCAGTCTTGAGAAAGGAGTTGAGTTAGACTGCCAGTGGGTGGAATTTGATGATGTCCGCTACCACATTCAGGTGATCCAACTTGTTAGCTATTTTGGAATAGTCATCGTTCTTATGCTTTCAATCAATTATGTTTCATTGCATGTTAGCATTTTGTAAAGCATATTGCATGCTGGAGTCTTCTCGTGTCTCATCTAATAAGCGTTTTGCAGGCATCTGTGAAGAATCCAAATTTCGTCCTGCTATCACTTTCGCTACCAACTCCACCTCCCGAAACTGTATCTTTTGGTGGACTCCCTGAAGTAGCTATAGAAGCAATAAAAGCAGCGTACGGTGTTTTTCTACAGATTCTTGATCCACCGAGGGATGGTTTTAATCTAACAGTGAAACTGAACTTATCCAAACTTCCACCAGATGAAGGTTCAGTGAGTTTCCTTTGTAAGGTCATACATGACAAGCTTTCCATGATGACTATCTGAAATGGAATCCCTGTCGTGAAGAACTTTGGAATTTTTGCAGATGATTTGTCCATTTACAATATTTTAAATGGCCCTGCTGTTTATTGTTGAAGTAACCCATATTGATGCTTCCATTGGTTTTTGGGGATAATGATGAAAAAAGACCTTTATCTTATGTGGATAAGTTGACTAACAATGTAACATCTGATACTACTTTCAATTGTCTTTCCACCCTTGAAGCATGTTCCCTTTCGAATTCTGCAATCATGCATCTAGTATAGCTGTGTACAATGTTCGATACCTTATTTTCATGATAGTTGAGTTTTATCTAATGCATATTCTGGTTGTATAGAGCATAAGCAAGCACTCCTGGTTAAGATTGCCTCGATAAGAGAAGTGGTCCAGGGTGCACAATTAAGAGCAATTCTAAAGCAGCTTATCACGAGGGGTGCCAAGTCTAATTTGAACCAACCTGTTTCCATTGTTCATCGGCCAAACGAATCATTTTTTGTTGTGTCTCAGGTAATTTAGTCTAAACTTTTCTGTAGTCATTTTTTTTTTATTTATTATTATTTTTTTTTTAAATCATGAACATCATAAGTATGAAGATTATCAGTTTCACCCTGTTAGACTATAGATCTGTTTCAACATATCAGCTAATATTTTCCAGTGAGGCACCTTTGCTTGTCCATCATCGATCATGCTACTCAACTATCATGTTGAATTGCTTGAAAGAACTTTCACATCTTGTTCTATTTGTGTGTAAATGTAACTTTACAATTTTGGGTGAACTTGGCGTATTGTTTTCCTATAGGACCTGAGTGGCATGTGCTTGTTTCCAGGTAGACAAGGTAATTGTCATTTTCCCCATGCGGTTCAGGGATTCTGTCGATACTGTTCTTGCAACTTCTTTCTTTCAGGTATGGCTCGAATTACTGTCTAGGGTCTTACTTTTTACTTTTCAATCACTTTTCTCTCTCTCTCTCTCTCCCTCCTTGTGACGTCAAAATTACACTGCCCTGGACATTTTTGTCGTTTTCTTTTACGTTTGCATGATAGTCTGATAAGCTGATCAAAAATTTTAATTAGATGGGAGGACTTCTTAATATACATTTGTGCCAAAAATATGGCTTTCTCAAAACGCGTATTCTATTTACAGTCTTCTAACAATTTATCATCTTCCATACTTGCGAATTTCTTTCTCTTGGCTAATTTACTAAATAAGTTTCTTTGTTGTCTCTATAATGTTGTAACTGTTTAGGAATTTGTGGAAGCAAGGCGAACTGCTGGGCTAAACAGTGCCCCTCCTTGTCATTGGTCTGCTTCCCCCCCTCAAGAATTAGAAGGAGTTCCTGATGATGCATTATCAGCAAACTCGGGATTTATCAGCTTTGGTAGTTACATATTTTTGTTTCTCAATTTTCAATTTATTTATATATGTAATTATCTGAATAAGTCATACGTTTCTGGTGAACAGTAATATTCCCTCGCCACGTGGAAGGCAGGAAGCTTGACAGAACTGTTTGGAGTTTGACAACATTTCATGCTTACGTTAGTTATCATGTCAAGGTGAGGAACTGCGCACCGCCAAAAATTTGTGTTCGCTCGATATGTAATTCTTTGAAGAACCAATATCACATATTACAAGACCAACTGAAAAGTTGAGATGTTGAGTTTTAAGAAATTTAAGCGATAAACTATGCAAATCGCAAGAAAGCACAGATGCGTAAGAAAGTTGTGGAGAAAAGGTGTAAGTAATTTAATATTGAAACTCTTGGGACAAGAGATAATAAAAAGATAGGAAACACTACCCTACAGTGAAACCAAAAATATCGATACTGAACTCTTATGCAATTCATTGGCAGCCTAATGTGATTGTCCTGCTATTTCTTTCAGTTAATGCATGAGTTTGGGATTAGGTTTAATAATAGTTCTATTCCTAGAAATCTCTCTCCACTTATTATAACTTTTATGACCTGATATCAAAGCTATCAATAAAGATCATTGTAACTCTGTTTATGACTGTAAAGCACTTTTTAGTTTTCTCTTTACTTTCTTGGACCTAATGAATTTGTTATATTTTAGACCTGCTTTATCTGCTGAGTGGTTCGCGGCATTTTTCCGATGGAATGTTTATATTGTTTACTAAAGAGAAGCGAAAGTGGAAAAAAAATGTTAAGGAAGACCAGTTTTCATTATTTTAGGGGAGGGATGTAAATCTGGACAGAGCTAATACAATTCTGTTTGTCCTTGATGTGGAGGTTATAATATATCATGCCAGCTGAATATAGTGACGAAAAGGAGAGTTCCTCTTGCATTATGCAAGATGTACCTATTATTTTATCTCAAAAGCTAAACATTGAAAATCAGGCTGTCCTTGTTGAGGATCGAAGAAACAATTCATTAATTTTCCGTGCTAACTTGTTTGGTTAAATTTTGGTTTCAGACTAGAGTTCCTGATGATTTTTATAATATCCAAAAAATGTGCTTTGTGCGCAGTGCTCAGAAGGTTTCATGCACACCCGGATGAGACGCCGTGTTGAGTCACTAATAGAGGTCAGTCTTCTGTTTTTGGCTTCTTCACGAATTTAGCATTTATTGCACCTTCTCTCGACTGACCATCTCATTCTGGTTTTTTCATGGTTGTGGATTTTATTGTGTTGAACGGAGGCCAGTAACGCCCATACCATACCAGAATATCACTTTTATATGACATCCCTTAATGTTTAAACTACGTGGCAAGTTTAGTAAGCTCTATACCCTCTAATGGTATATCATTATTAGTTGTCATTCCTCTGGATAGAGGCTCATCAAATTCAAATTTCCAACTCTCTTTAACTGGACCAGCTGCATAGTTCCTAGATAGAAATTAATGTCTTATTTTTGGGACAAACAAAGTTGATATTGATAAAAATATGATTCATTTTGAAAAATAGATTCTCATAGTTTTCTTTTTCATTTGATCCGCATTGGGCCTGCTTTGCATGAAGGTTTAGGTTAAAAGGAATGGGAATAAAGGAGAAATGATCGGTTGTTAGAAGGGTATATGAGTTTGATAGGTGTAATAATGGGAATGGGGATCTTCTCCCCCATATTTTGAATGGATAGTGCTAACACTATCTTGATCAAGAAACTATCATGATGTGAAATTTGCTATGGTAGCCCGTAGCCCTCAAAGTTTTCCTCTTACTCTTCTGATGGGTGTTTAAGCGCTCGCTTATTTCAATTCTAAATACCTATTTGGCATGTGTCCATCAAACGGAAGTGCATCCTCATGGGGTGTATTAGTAAGGTGTAGATTTTTCTGATTTAAAAAACGAGACGTATTTCTTAATTGATTTCATGGTCGTTTTATGTAAGCATTGCGTCCTATTTGTGCTTTATGTTATTCTGTGCTTTCTCAGTGTAGAAATATTATAGAGATAACTGCAAACTGTTGTCAAAACCACTTTTTTTTCTTAATTAAAAGAGTAATCCAACATTTTTAAAACTTGTTTATTATTTTCTATTTCTTTGGGGCATTTGTGTCATGTTAATCTCTATAGTTTATAAGCATGACATGATTCTCTTTTTGCCTCAGGCTCTTGATCGTGCCAAACCTGATGCAGATGAGTCTGAGAAAAAAACAGTCCAAAGTAGATCCTTCAAGCGACTGGTATGTGGATTTTAGGCAGCTTTTTATACCCAAATTTGTTTTTCATCCTGTGCTTGTTGAGTTTCAACTCTGTTTTTCATTCTTTCTTATGCAGAGTATCAGGGATGGACAGGGCAGTTTCAATTCTAGATGAGATCATACAGTGGAAACTTTCCTACCTGGCGGTATTTATAAATAAAAAAGAAGGGCAAAGAACACAAAGGAAAAAAAGAAAAAGAAAGAGAGGATGATACATTGTAAAAATTGACGGGGGATATAATTCCATTCGTGTTGAAGTTGATGAAATCCATACACATTGCAAATAACTGTTTTTGTGCTTTCGTATTATTGTTAGGCCTTGCTCGTTTTCTTGGAGTGGCACTTCTATGGCCTCGCCTAAATGGTCACACCCCTTGTCAAACATTGTTTTTAGGGTTTTTACATTATGCTTTCTCTGATTTTGTATGTACTGTCATATTGTCCTGTGCTGCTGTGGAATGTATAAGATGTATTGCTAAGAATACCGAGTTGCATAGGTAAGAAGAAAATCAGATATTACAAGTATGTAACAATTGATTATTTTAGTACCATATTTATTCATCAGTGGCCGCCAGCGTAAAGATTTTGTGACCATTCAATTAGACACTCAATGTGTGATATGCTGACTCCTACCATGTTAGTGGATATATTATCTCGTGTTCATATCAACTGTTGGGCATATAGACAACAATTTATGAATCTATTAGTCAAGTTTTAATGTTTTAGTTGAAAATTACCTGTATAGATTAAATCGGCTTCCAATGGGAGGCAATATATATGAAAGGGTGGATGGTCTGATATTGAGGAACTATTGCATGGTCTGTGATGCATATTAAGATTTTATTTATAAGTTAAAATGTATCAATAACATGAAACACAATTTAACATATATTATTCAAAGTCAAAAGGCAATATCATCTGGTCTACATGTGTATTAATAAACAGTAACTTTTATGTGAGGCCGTTTAGTTGTTAAATATGTCGACCCGTCATAGTACTTGAACAAAAAAAAATCATACTTATCTATACTATTTTAAATCTAAAAGGACGAGTGTTTTTGTAAAAAAAAAAAATGAAGTATCTAAGAAATCATTACTTTGACATATTTTTAATGGCAAATTAATAATACACTAATATTCATCTTATCTTATATTTTTAATTAATAACTAATATTTATCTAAAAACTTTTACTTTGACATATTTTTAATGAGAAATTAGTAATACACTAAGACTCATTCTATTTTATATCTATAATTAATATTTAACATTTAATTAATTAAATATAAATACACGAACAAAACATTATACATCTCCTAAAATCAACCACAATATTCTCGCATCATTATTCCTCACGAATTTTCTTTCTTCCACATATCCCTCAAACTTCCATATCTCCTAAAAATCAACCCAACATCAACCAACCAACAAAGGTTTGAAAGGATAGAGAATTGTTGTTTTTATAAAACGTTCTTTTTTTTAATATAATTTTAATGGTAAAATCGTAATCCTATTTAATAGTTCTATTATATAAAACTTTTTTTAAAGAAAAAAATCCAACAAAAATAATATAATAAATACTTATAAAGTTTTCAAATATTTTCTACTATTTATTCACATATCTACAATTTAAACAAAACGATAAATCTTGATAAAAAAAAAGGACAACTTAGTTGAGAGGTAACTTGTATATAATAAATAATTTCAAATCTTTATACTTAACTTTAATTAAGAGAATATCCCATTTTACAAAAAATATGCACACATGAAATATATACATTATCTAACAAACTAGAAAAGTGAACAAATCAATTTACTACATCATTATTTAAGAAAAATAAACTCCTGTATTTGGAATGAGAATTAGAAATTGCACCTTAAACTTGTTGGATTGAATTTGATCCCACAAAAATCGTCATCTATTTGTTTTTTTTTTTTTCCCAAAACGATAGAGGTATTATATATAAGACACAAAAGTGCAAAGTTACAGCTACTAGCTGAATACAAACAGCCTAACAGCTGAATACAAATTCCTAACAACTGCAAAAACTGTAAGGACATGTCAAAGACCGCCTAGAGCCGACCCCAACGGGGTAATACTCAAGAACACACAAAAAGAAAAAGCACTAGGACACTAAAACACTAAAAAGACTCCAACAGAGTAATGCCCGAGTGTACGATCCCAACAAGATAATAAGGCTACACTCGGGCTAACCGGGGTCAACAGCACAAACCTAAAACACAAGACAATACCAACATTAAACAAACAACACAAAATGACGAAAAAAACAAACCCTAATAAAGCAACAAAACAACTAAAGACAACAAAGAACGCTATTCCCCAGCAAACAAACGAATCGAAACCAACAGAGAACCAATCAATCCAAGAAAGATCCTAAGCCCAAGGCACAACTTTCGAAACTGCTGCCGAACGTCTATACAGAAGTCAAACTCGAACCCTGAACCTAACCCTAATCGACCCACCTTCAACCGAGAGGACAACCAACCAGCTCCCCACGTCAGCCCCGCACGGCTGCACGAGCTCGCCTAACACCACTAGCCAGGCTCGGCTGAGCCAAAACCCCCTCAGTTTCCAACACCAGAAAACCAGAAGGGAGAGAGTGACTCGGTCCCCAACTCCCACTTCCCCAACACAAAGGGTAGAAAAATGCGAGAGCCCCGTCCCACCCCCGAAGACTCGCACTCCTCCTCGCAGCACCAAAAACCGCCGGAAATCCAAGCTCGAAGGTCCTCCTTAGAAGCCCCACCAGAAGGCAAGCACGACCGACCCGAACCACCAAAGACCGCGGCAATTCGAGGGCCTCTCCGGTAGCCCCACCAAAAGGCAAGGCCGACCGATGACACCGACTCGAAAAAAATCGAGGGACTAACCTTCGGTAATCGAAGACCCATCGGCGGATAAGACTCCAATCGCCAACCCAACGAAGATCCACCAGCAGATCAAGGCTCACCACCACGAGACCCGACGGCAACCAAGGTCCGAACACCAAACTTCCAACAGCCACAGCAACGACGGAGGCAGAGGCGAACAACAACAGGGGGTGGACCGAGCAGTCAAAGGCGACCACTGGCCCAAGCTCGCCGTCGCCGGGAAAGGCAAAGCGGATTGAAGATGTCCGAGGCTAGGTGGATTTGGGGGATTAGGTTTTCTTTCGGAAGCGAAGACGGAGGACTCAGAGAAATTTCTCTATTTGTTTATTTGCTTGTTTGTTTTTTATTTTACTTTTTTTTTATAACTTTCGTACCAAAGTCAATAAAGTTAAGGAATCTTCACTTGATCATTACACAATTAATATCAAGGTGAGTAATATTATTATTGTTAATAATTAAAATATTTTATGAAAAAACTATTCAATTATTAACTAAAATATATCATGATATCTTCCTTAGATCATTTTGACTAGTGGTGTTAGATGAATTCGGGTTGTGAAGGTGCGGGAGTTGGTGTCGTCGTTCTCTCGGTTAGGGGCAGATCGTTTTGGGGCTAGGTTCGGGGCTCGGGTTCGGCTTCTGTATAGGCGGTTTCGCAGTCTCGGTAGTAGTGCCTGGGCTCAGGACCTTCTTTGGATCGATTGTTGTCTGCTGGTCGGGCTCGTTTGTTAGCAGGGGAAGGGCTTGAATGTGGATATTTTGTTATTTTGTTTTCTGTTGTTTTCGTATGTTCGTGTTGTTTAGGTCTTGTTTTTTTGGTTTGAGTCGTTGGCCCCTGTGAGCCTGAGTGTCAACTTATTATCCTATTGGGATCGTACACTCGGGTATTATCCTAGTGGGATCTTTTTTAGTAGTTTCTGGTTTGTTTTAGTAGTTGGTTTAGTGTAGTTACGGATGTTGTTTTTCTAGCTTTGCTACTGTCGTGATTCTAGGTGGTCGTCTGACTTGTCCTCTCACTTTTTCAGCTGTTGGTTGTTCCATTCAGCTAGGGCTGTGTATTCACACATTTGTGCATTTTAATTTATAATATTATTTATTGTTTCGAAAAAAAAAACTAAAATATATCATGATATTTAATTATTATTACTTCAATTGAGCCATTGGTATTCAAGATGAACGTTAAATAAAACGAAGAGAATTAAAACCTTTATATATTAAATATTTTATTTATTGATATTATCTTAAGGTTCTTAATGCTTTTAGGATTTTCTAAAAAAAATTGAGCATTTATTTGATAGGTATCCTATCAAATAAGATAACTGCTTCAGTAATATTAATTTAATTTTATAAATTTATTAATAACTATAAGTAAAAAATTGAAACCATATTGCTCGTCTTCATAGTGACCAAAAAGTATAGAAAAATATTTTTTTTTAAAAAAATAGCCTATAAAAATTAAATTTTGTAATAGTATGAGAGATTAATTGTTAGATGATTTATTTGCAACCTAAAATTCTAATGTACTCAGTCTTTGCTTAAAATAGTATTAGAACAATTTTATGAAATTGTATATTACTAAAACCCAATCCATTTGTTTTTATGTCGACTCGGATACCACTTGAGCATCATGATTTAATTTTGATCATATGATTAACAACAAATTAATTAAGAATATCTTGAGAAGCATGATATTCCTATATACGTTGAAAATTAATTAATTTTTACCAAGGTATTATATCGATATATTATAATTACTCATCTATCTATTAATTTGTATTATTATAACAAAACATTGTTTTTATCAAAAAATATGTGAAATTAAAAAAAATTATATTTGATTATAATATTAATGAGAAGATTTATAATTATATATAATTAATATATATATATATATATATATATAATTACTAGCCAATGCATTTAATAAAACATTTAATAAAACCTATTTCATTTCCCTCCAAAAGGAGTTACATTTTTTTAAATTAATTACTCACTAATCTGCTAAAACCCTTACACCTTAATATATATATTTTTATTATTTATTTTTTGGATCAGTTACTAAATTAATTCTAATTTTGGTAGCAAAATATTCAAGTGTGTAACGGCTAATGTTGGAACTTAAAGTTCATGGCACATTCAGAGCTGTAACCGTATATTTGGTTGCATTGTTGGAAGAAAAATATGATTGACACATATTTTTTTTTTCTAAATATCAGAAACACTAATAATTTTTTTTATTTACGTTAATTTTTTTAATATATACCACATATTATAAATTATTTTATTCATGTTACTAATGTAAACGTTGCATGGTTAAAATAAAATTTAAATCTCAATTAATTTTGAATGATAAAATAACTTAAGAAAAAATAATAATTTTTATATGATAGAAGTATATGTCTAATTAATAAATACAAACAAAAACATATTTTATATTTGTGTAAATGCACAGGATCAAATACTAGTATAATATAAAGATATACAATTAATTAATATATAATAATAAATATCACTCAAAATGTTCTATACTTAATTTTAAGCATGTGTTAACATATCTAAAAGTCATATATATAAATATACATATATATATATATATATATGGGGTGGATCAAATGAGACCAGCTCTTAAAATGGGACCAGCTCTTAGCAACTACAGACAACTAACCTAGCAACTACAGAGAACTAACCTAACAGCTACAGACAACTAACCTAGCAACTACTAACTTAGCAACTACAGAGAACTAACCTAGCAACTACAGAGAACTAACCTGGCAGCAAAAAAGAAATAACCTAGCAACAAAAGACAATTAACCTAGCAACAAGAAAGAACTAACCTAGCAATAAAAGACAACTAACCTAGCAGCAAGAAAGAAATAACCTAGAAACTTAAGACGGTGATAGGCCGTTGTCTAGGGATAGGCAGGTGTCGCATTCCCCCTACCTGCTTGTGAGCGACCTTTGGACGGACGCGTCGTGGGATAGGGGGAAGCTAGATAGGGAGTTGGGCTCTGGGGCGGGCTTTAGCGAGCATTTATTAGATCAGATCCAGCAGATCCCTATCTCGGGGGACGGTTCAGATGGCATGAGGTGGAGACTTACATCATCGGGTGTGTTTTCTACTACCTCGGCTTGGGAGCAGATCAGGCTGAGAGATCGACCTAATCTTCTTTTCGGGGCCATCTGGAGCGACCTTTTCACCCCTACCATTTCGGTGTTCCTTTGGCGCCTCCTCTTGCGCCGGATACCCGTGGATACTGTGTTACACGCGAGGGGGATCTCCTTCCCCTCTCGGTGTGTGTGTTGTTCTGAGACTGGACGCCATGAGACCGAGACCTTTACCCACCTTTTTCTAGAGAGTGAGATTGTGAGGAGAGTGTGGGAGTATTTTGCCACTTGGACACATATATCCCTACCCACCACATGAAGTTTCTTTGAGCTCCTAAGTTTTTTCTCACAGAGCACACACTTTAGACACGTGGGCTTCCTCATTCCTTGTCTGATCATTTGGTTCACCTGGACAGAGAGGAATAGTGCGAAGCATAGGGATATTACTTTTTTGCCTTCTCACATTGTTTTGCAGGTAGAGAGACACATCTCACTCCTCATAGCATTGGGCAGGCTCACGGTCCGAGACTGGACAGGTTGCACGCCGCCACACCGTTACATCGTGGCTCCCCCACCGCCTGTTCGGCCTTCTCGGTCCAAAGCTGTTGTTTGGCTTCAACCTGACTCTCCGTGGGTCAAGCTGAACACTGATGGCTCCTTTGATCGTTACACCGGAATTGCCGGAGGAGGAGGCTTGATCCGGGACCACAGCGGCGCCCTCATCACCGCCTTCCACACGCCCCTTCAGGCCTCCTCAAGCTACGATGCAGAGATTCAGGCATTACAGATCGACCTTCAGATTGCTGTCCACCTCTCTACTCACATTTGGATCGAGCTAGACGCTGCAGCTGTCGCCACCCTGTTGACCTCGGGCCACCAGGGCTCGTGGCAGATTCAGCACCCGCTTATGCGTATTAGAGCTCTACTCCGGTCTGTCCACCACAGGATCACGCACATTTTTTGTGAGGGGAACAGACCTGCAGACTACCTTGCCAGCCTTGGCGCCACAACACCTGACTACCATACGTTTCAGATCGACACTGCTCCACTCCGACTTCGTACGCTCGTACGGATGGACCAGCTTGAATATCCATCTTTCCGCTTTCAGTAGATTAGGCTTATTGCTTTATTTAGATTAGACCTTTGCTTCCGGGCACCAGTTAGCCCGAGGACAGACTTTGTATTATTCTTTCCTTTTTTGGTAATCTTTTGTTGTTTTTGTTTTGTTTTGCTTTAGAGACTTTGAACATTGTAGTTTGTTGACACTTTGGGCCCCAGTTTTCGGGTCTTGATCTATGTACAGGTTGGGGATCCAGCCCAATCCCCCACCCTTCCGGGACGTTGTTTGTTTAAAAAAAAAAAACCTAGCAATTTAAGACAACTAACCTAGCAACAAAACTCAACCTAGCAGCTACAATTAACTAACCTAGCAACAACAGACAACTAACCTAGCAACAAAACACAACTAACCTAGCAGCTAAAGATGACGAAGAGAGTTGAGCGCAGTGGCGCATACCTCGCTCGGCGTATCCCACATCCCGAGTTCGAGTCACCTGGAGGGGAATTGGGGAACCAGTATTAATCCTCATTCTTAGCAACTACAGAGAACTAACCTAGCAACTACAGAGAAGTAACCTGGCAGCAAGAAAGAAATAACCTAGCAACAAAGGACAATTAACCTAACAGCATCAGACAACAAACCTAGCAACAAAAGACAACTAACCTAGCAGCAAGAAAGAAATAACCTAGCAACTTAAGATAACTAACCTAGCAGTTACAATTAACTAACCTAGCAACAAAACACAACTAACCTAGCAACTAAAGATAACTAACCTAGCAACAGAAGACAACTAACCTAGCAGCAAGAAAGAACTAACCTAGCAACAAAAGACAACTAACCTAGCAGCAAGAAAAAAAATAACCTAGCAACTTAAAACAACTAACCTAGCAACAAAACTCAACTAACCTAGCAGCTACAAATAACTAACCTAGCAAGATAGAAATAACATAACAACAAAAGACAAATGGTTAACGGTCAACGCCGGAGTCAACGGCGGAAGTCAACGGTCAACGCCGGAGTCAACGGTCAATGGTCATCATAATATTTAAATAATTAAAAATAAAGAATTAAATAATAAAAATAAAGAATTATTATTTAAATCAAGATCTAAATCTTGTGGCTAGGAATGAGTCTCACGTCCTCACTTTATTGGTTCAAATAAAAACTAATCCTGGTGTGAGAACCGTGAGAACCATATTTGATGCTACTTTCAATTGTGTATGATGCTATTTTTAATCTTACATGATGCTATCATTTTTACAAATGCTAACATAAATTGTGTTACTATTTTTAATAAAATACATCCTGATTAAAGGGATGGTTATATACCATTGTGTTTGCAATGGATGATTATGATATATCGTCTATATGTCACTTGTTTTAGTTTAAAGGCATTGTTTGTAGGCATGCTCTAATAATTTTGACATGGTTGGATGTCGTTGAATTGCCTAATAAGTACATGTTGCAGCGATGGAGAAAAGATGTAAGTAGATTGTATATGAGAGTTAAAATAAATTATGACAGTTGAGTTAGCACTCCCAAGCAATCACGATATGATGATTTGTGTCACTCATTCTCAAAGATTGTTTGTAATAGCCGCTGAAGATGAAAAACATACGTGCAAAATAAATAAGTGGATTTCAAGTCAATACCATTATCNAAAAAAAAAAAAAAAAATGGCCAAGTTGTGGAAGTAATCTCCATCTGCAACCTGATGTTGGACTTGAAGCAAGTAATTGTTTTGAAAATCAGACTTTAGATCCAAAATTCAAAACAAGAAAAGGAGCTCCTCGAAAGCTACGCAAGAAATGACCGTTAGAATCACCTTCAAGTAAAGAAAAGGCATTGCTTGTATCTATTTTCTATATTATTGTATTATAAAACTTAATTTCTAACACCAATAGTTGAACCAGGTTGTGAAGTCGAGGAAAAAATGAAGATCAAGATGGTTTGGATATTGTTCACCGGTGAACGAGCTGCAACATCTTGGGTTCACAGATGTGTAATCACTGCACTGTGAATTACACTGGTGATTTTTTAGATGGATCGAAGGGCTCAATTACAATGTCTCTACATGACCGATTTTGCTCCTAACTCCACTAGTATGATTCATTCCTAGATGCATTTGTATTCTGTGCATGAGCACATGTCACACCATATCTAGTTAAGCTCTTCTTGTCTACAACCCTAACATTATGTGAGAGTTTCTTATTTAATATTGTAAGCAAATATCCAATAGTCAAATATTTTGATCCCTACGCTTCCACCCTATAAATATCACAAAAATTCTTGTTAGCTTGATTTTAGAATTTTCAAATAGCCTAGTGCAACATTTTGTTTATTATTTATTTTTAAATTCTGATGATGCCGTACAGACGGATATATCATCAATTATGGGTAAAAGCACTGAACTAATAGTGGATTCTGGAAAGGCTAAGTGTATGCTTCAATTTGGCCCGGCCCATTTCTTCAGACAACCTTATCTAGCATCTGTTTTTCTACTCCAAGCAACTGACACCAATCTATGTTGTGTATGAATTCTTCCTCTTGGTACTGATTTTTGGCGGGATATGGGCTTGCTGCAAACTGAGGAAGACGAGTAACTAGCAAAAAGGGATTCCATATTAGGAACTGGAAATGGGCCTGCTGGAATATGTTCCTGTTGTGAATGTTGATGATGTCGTAGAAGGTTGGGACCATGACTAGGACGATGATGACTAGAAGGACGGCAGTATAGTAAAATCACCTGTTGGGCACCATATTATAAGTGTTTCCTTCGACGGGCCCACTTTGAGGCCTTCCAAGAAAGATGGATGGGGGATGATTGGGAGGATTAGAGTGGTATGTACATATACGTTGAGTGGTGGAGAAACAAGCAAGGCTTCTAGGACACGACACACACGGTTGGGGAGAAAATGAAAACCTTAAGACAAATTTATAAATCCTTTTTTTTTTTTTTCTTTTAATGGGGTGATTGGAAAATGTATAAGATCGGTTATTTAGAAGAAGATTTCCTTGTTCATTGTGATCTACATTACACAAGGGATTGAAAAAAGTGGCGATGGTTCTGAGATAATGTTCAAGATAGTTATCTAAACTTGGTTTTATCTTTACTAGTTTCCATTTGATATTACTTCAGGTCCATGTATTCTGCTCAAATAAATATGCCCTCTATGAAAAATTAGCTCAACCCTTTTAGTGTTTTTCCTTCCCTAGTTTTAAAGATAAAGATCTGTAATGTGTCCAAAGACCAAATTTCAAATATGACAATAAAGATGTGTACACTATATAGGTAATGCCGCACTGATAACATTAGATGATCATAATGCTCAACCACCAAACTCCAAAACAGAACAAAAACTAGAAATCTTGTTCATATTAAAATACAAAAATCCATATTTATATTAAAAGAATTGCGTTTAAGCAATGAAAACTGAAAAGAGAGTTTGAACGTCTGTTCATAGTCATGTCTTATTTTATTCCCATTATTTCGGGTTAGGTTTATTAGGTCACATATCTTTCAAAATATCAAAATTTCAACCTATAGAAATCAGGTAAATGCTTGGATCAACAAATTAAATATGGTCCTGAGTAGGGCCATTTAAAAGCCAATGATACAGATAATTAAAAGAGGAAAAACTCTATCTTTTCCCCAAGTTGATGAATGATAATGAATGTTTGGCTTGGTGTTCCCCTCTTCTTCATGCAATGCATGCTTTCACTTTAATATTCTTTGGCAATCACCTGAGCGACCCATGGGCCGTCCAAGGGGCTTGGCGTACTTCCTGAGAGTTGCAGGAACAATCTTCGATGACCAATTGAGGTGGATACGAAGGAACTCAATGTCGTCATTTGTAAGGTATCAATAGTTAGGCATCCAAACAAAGGTCTCGTGCACGTCTTCCTTGGATTTGAAGCTCTGCATGAGCTTAATCACCTGCAAATTTGGCACATCGATTTCAGGATGCTTTGGCAAGCTATAGTCCTTCTTAGCATAACACACTCCCTTAATCCCCCTTGAAAGAGGTATTTGGAGATTTCCTTCTTGTTCTTCTCGAGAATAATCATGGCCGCCGAGAAAATTGGCTAGGAGACCAAAGATAGTGGCACGCGGCAATATACAATACTACACGAAAACTTATTACTAAAAGCATTTGAGTCACTGGGGTTAAGACACCATATCTGGGCATCCAAAGTGAAATATTTAACATAATTTGCATTACAAATATCTGGGCATCCAAAGTGAAATATTTAACATAATTTGCATTACAAATTGAAGTAATAAAACAAAAGTCTCATGAAATCCCCACAATTAATTTAGCAGTGTTCATTTTTGAAATATTTTAACCCTTTGTACAACAAAAACCACATTCATATAAATCTTAAAAATATTTAAGTTCAAATGAGAAATAATATTATATCCAGACTCTTTCAATACATAAAAACAGAACTAAAAACATGTAAATAAGAAATAGAATACAAATGTAAATCTTATAACTCCATGCCAGTTCATGTCATTTTGAGTAGAATCAAGAAACATTTTCAATATTCCCCAATTTTAAAAACTCAAAAGCTGAAAGCCTGTAAGAAGGGAAAATTTATACAAGACTAGAGAAGTTTAAATTATGAATAAAACATATATAATATCAAAGAATTTACATTTATAATATAATAAATCTTCGGGTGTATTCCTTTGGGATTTCTAAAGACTTTTTAATACTTTAGAAATTCTAGTATATTTAATTTAGCCTTTCTAAGACTTTTAAAAGTCTTGGGTTATTCATTTGGAATTTTAAAAAGTGTTACAAAATCATGAGGTGTTTACTTATTTGAGATTAATATTTGTTAAGACTTTTTAAGATTTGTTGGGATTTCTAAAGGAAAAATCTTATACGAAATCTCATCCAAAATCCGACTTTAAGATTTTATATGAATTTTTCAAAATATGAAAATCTTAAAAAATTCTAAATCTAAAAAAGTCTCAAAATGTCACTCGAAATACCAAACGAAAATACCCTTAAAGCAACATGAATAAAACTTTCGTTAATCCAAATACCTTCACTGAAACCCTAAAACACCATCCAACCAAAAAAAAAAAAAAAAAATGGCCTACTACATTGGTGTTCAACGGTTTCAATTTTGCTACCCACAAATCTCAATGAAGATTTTGAAACATGGAACTTGGAAATTGGGAGAGAAAGAGAAAGGGGATCGGGTTTTTTGGATGGCCTCCTGCAAAATGGCTTATAATTATGATGTTATTAATTCACTTTAATTTATTAGTTATTAACAATTTAAGTGGAGGGCAAAATTGTAGATGATATTATGTGGTGAGACAAGTGGTAAAATATATGGTACAAGTAGCATGATCCTGATTTTAATATTTTATAGAACTCCTATGACCTAAATCTACCAAAAAATAATCAAAATTAATAAAATGACAGTGAAGTAATTTTAAACAAGCTTTGTTGTCCACGATAAAAGACCACTAGTATTCGACCATGTGCATTTGCACAGATGTAAATAAAATTAAATATTATAAGTTATATTTATGTATATAATATAAAAATTATAAGTTATATAATTGTATTATATTTCAAACATATAGTATTATAAATTATATTTATGTATATAATATTAAAATTATAAATTATATAATAGTATTATATTTTAAAATTTGATCATCGGTTAAAATAAATAGTACACACGATCTGATTGTATACGAATCACTATATTGATTGCATAAAATGCAATAAATATATATTTTTTATAATTTTGAGTGATCATGACCAATTAATTAGCTGAAAAATATTACATTTATTATAACAATTGCTTATGTGATTTTAAGAAATTTTACTATGACATAAAAAAAATTAATTTATTAATAAACAACATCTTCATCATATAAAAAAATATTGCTTTTAGTGTAAAATATAATTTTATGTAACTTTCATATATTATTTAGTATAAAATATAATTACTAATTTTAATATTAACTATTATATTATTCAATAAAAAATATAACTATTAATCAAATAACATAAAATATAATGGTTTTTGTCTTAATTAACCTAAAAAATGTAATGAAATATTTTCTTATTAATGAGATTGGATGTATTACTGCCACATAAATAAAATTTATTAGGTTCTATTTATTAGGTTTTATTAATGATTTGCCACATAGGTAAAATTTATTAAGTTTTATTTATTAAATAAAATTTATTGCTTAGCTAGCAATTATATATATATATATATATATAGATACGATCTCTCAGGAACAGTGGAACAGAAGACACCTCTTTCGCCATTTCTCTCTCCCTCCCCTTGCAACTGCTTGCCAAATTTATAAGCTCCCAAACCCTTTTTGTACCGTACATGATTTCAACATTCCATGTCTTTGTAGCTTAACTTATAGTTTCTTACGATTTTAACAATATACTATTCGATTAGTTTCTATATGTGCACTCGCCGTCCGTTTGGGAATTGATTGAATAATCTCGATAAATGAAGTGGAGTTTGTCGGTTTAGTCATTTTTCATGTGAATTATTAGCTTAGCACGCCCAATTCGTTTAATAATGGAGGCTCAATTTATTGCTTCGGTTTCCTCATATTGCTTTTCCCCGAACTTGGGTTTTTAAGATTTGTTTGTTCTTTCAATCAATAACTTGTTAGTTAAAATTTATAGGCTAGTAAAAAAATATATTCTTGTCGTTACCCTTGAGTAGGCGTAGATGATTAATGCCTTTTGGTTGTACCTGCTTCAGCAGGTGTCCTCGCAGATCAAACTTCGAGAATAAGGTTTACAAAATATTGTGGAGTCATAAATTTAAGGTTCTTAACGTTCTTTCTTTTTAGTGGAGTAGGTGTAGTTCACTGTGCACCTTAGCCGCTTATTACCTGATAAATAGTTTTAAATAGCTCGATAATTGGTTGCATAATTATGTGTCTATTGTTTTGGATTCTTAAGTGAGAGTTTTCAATTGGCAATCATGATGACTTATGGTTTAAGCTTGTGATGATCCTTATGTAATTTATGTTGCAAACTTCTTTTTAAGGGTTGTCATCTCGTGGAGGTGCCAATTCGAATTTGTAAAAGTGGCAGATGCAGTAAAATATTGTGCAGTTGCTCATAAATTGGTTTCTGCCTAGTGCGTGACCTTTAAGTTGAGCAACTCCTTCTCAGAATGGGGACCTTGCATAGGAGGTTTGTCCGTACATCTCAATCAACTATGCAAAATTACTTGACTTCAGTTTGCTTAATTTACTTGTTCTCTGCACATGTAGTGGAGTCGTGAAGAGGTCAAATGATGGTGTGCGGCTCTTTCTAACAACCATCATTGGAATGGTGTTAGGATATCTTATAGGCGTTTCATTTCCTTCTATTTCTTTAAGTAAGGTATGGTTTCTGTTCTCTCATGCTAAATAGAAAATGTTCATGTCTTCCTTCTGACAATTATTATATTGTAATTGATTTTTTTTTTTTTTATTCAGATTAGTCTACCTTCAAGTCTAATTTCGCCTATTGATATGACTTTTCACGATCGTCGCCATACATCCGGTGATCGTAGGTTTCCTGAAAACCTTGGTTCAGGAAGTTCTCCTTCAACGCCCAAGGTAGTTCTTCCATACAATTTTTTGCATGGTATTTACGCATGTTTTTCTACTGAATTGATGATTTATATTTAGTAATGACTTGATTGTGACTTATCTCATTTTTAAGTGATGACTTGATTTTCATTTCATTACCACAATTTTTGCTTGAGTGCCAGACGAATTAGATACCATTTATTTAATTCCTTATCATAAAACGACATTACTACCTTAATCATTCAGTGGTAGTTTAGCATTCCATTATATCATAACTGTTTGAATGGTAGTTTAGCATCAACAACAACAACATACCCAGTATATTCTCAACAGGTTGGGGTCTGGGGGGTACCTTACCCTTGTAATTATACAAGGAGGCTGTTTCCGTAGCGACCCAAGTTGAATGGTAGTTTAGCATTCCACTATAATATATCTATTTCATTTTCCTATCTCAACAAGAATGACAAATAAGTTGGAAAACTTGGAGTGATTGGATATTAGATAACTTTGATATTCATCCGCTGGAGAATAAAGTACACGATTCACCCATCTCGTTTTTTCCTATCCTCAATTTTATCATTACAGTTCTTATAATAAAAACCAATCATTACTACACATTCCCCTACTAAAATTTGCTATTCATTCACGCACGTATTTTTAACTACCAATTATTACTTTATCATTTCCCTATCACATCAACTTTGACCAATACTTTTTCATCCTACATCAATTGACACTATCAAAAGAAATAATTTTTCCACATAGAAAAAAAAAAAAAAAATCAAGTGAAAGCATATCCAATTGCACCTTGGTATCTTTTGTTTCTTGGTCAAATACACCTATCCATGGATGTGAACATGTATAATATGGTTCTATGTCATACTCTGTTTGGTTCTAATGTCATTTCAGGATTAGTTGCTATTTTTTCTGCCTTGTAGATATATGTTCCTACAAATCCTCGTGGCGCTGAGTCTTTACCTCCTGGAATTGTTGTGTCAGAATCAGATTTTTATCTGAGAAGATTATGGGGTGAACCTAATGAGGTAAGATTAGACTAATTTGGTAATAGTGATAGTTATGGTGCTACCCCCCACCCCCTTCTGTTTGTTATTAAATATTCATAATATGTTTCGTTCTTCTTTCTCCCTTTTAAATACATGGAAGGGTTTAGCAACTTTTTGGTTAGAAGCAATTGCTTTGGCTCACGTTCTCCTGTGTTATTTTACCTTCTTCAGTGTTTCACACCTGATTTCTTAGCGTAGGTGTTAGGTGATCTGACAAAGGAGATTGTAGAAGTCAAAACATATCATTATGCAGCCTCATTCCGTAGATGTATTGAACTATGATAAGATTTTGTGAGTTTAGTATGCTGACGCCAATATTCTTCAACTTTCAGGATCTGAAAAGGAAGCCGAAGTATCTAGTAACATTCACAGTGGGTTTGAATCAAAAGGACAATATTAATGCTGCGGTCAAAAAGGTTAAGACAATTTGAATTTTTGTTATGAACTAAATAGATTTTCATTTTTGGCAAAGATACCACTATTACATTAGACTGATTTTCCATGTACTTGTAGTTCTCTGAGGATTTTCAAATACTGCTTTTTCATTATGATGGCCGGACAACTGAATGGGATCAATTTGAGTGGTCACAACGTGCCATTCATGTCAGTGTCAGAAAACAAACTAAATGGTAATATTCTGACGGTCATTTCCAGCTTTCTTGTCTCCTTTTTTGTTGGGTGCCCAACGTCATAGATTAGAACCTATGACGTGTACCTTCTGGATTAATATTTATGTTGCTGCAGAGTTGATTATGGTTTTCAAATGTGAACTTTGTGGACATGCACTGACAATATTGAAACTCAACTATAGCATGTTAAGAATCTGACTCTCATGTAAATATTAAATATTGTACTTTAGCCCGATTACAGAAAGATTAGGAAACCTTACTCTGAGCTGCTGAAGGTGGATGGTGTATTGTAAATTCAAATATTAAGATACTTTAACTTTCTTTTTGAATCGAGGCTTGCATCAAGTTGTTGACTAGTGAGATTCATAGTCATTAGATTCTTTACATGCTCATGACTTGATTGTCTGTTTTTATGGAGGTGGTATGCAAAGAGATTCCTACATCCAGATCTTGTGGCTGCTTATGACTACATCTTCATTTGGGATGAAGATCTTGGAGTTGAACACTTTAATGCCGAAAAGTAACTATTATTGCTATAAATCTTCTATTCCTTTTATGTGTATGTATGATGGGTTGGTTGGGGGTGGGGCAGTCTATCCGCAAATGCAATACAGTTTATGCCGTTTGTGTTGTAACGTTTTAAATTCCCTATTGATGCTGAACCTTTTCCACATGCCAGGTATATAAAATTGGTTCAGAAACATGGATTAGAGATTTCACAACCGGGTCTTGAACCCAACAACGGACTGACATGGCAAATGACAAAAAGGCTGGGCAACAGAGATGTTCACAAGTAGGTTTATTGATCTATCAATTATCGTCCAAATCTCATGACCCCTCACTTTTATGGATCTTGGTTAACAGGCATACAGAAGAAAAACCGGGCTGGTGCAGTGATCCGCATTTGCCTCCTTGTGCAGCGTATATGCTCTATTTCCCTTGCTATATACTTATATAGATCAATTGTGTGAATTTATGCTTGTATTTACTTGAGTTTAATGGCATCTATTTGTCTCCTCGGCTAATTACTAGTGTAATCAATTGCATATGGAATATTGATAGTTGAGGGATCACATTTTATAAAAAATTGTGTCCATTAGGAGAGGGGTAGGAGGGTTCTCATATGATGGAATATAAGTGCGTGCAAAGTAAAATGGTGGAGAAAGAATAAACAAATCAAGTAGAAAGAATACTTATCTGGATTTGTAAGATATTTGTATTATTATAAATTTTATAATCTTTGCACCACTTTTAGGCAACATTTCGAACTACATAAATAGCTCATTTCTTTCCTTAGTATTTTTCTTATTGTTTTAACTTATAGTCATTATATAATCCTTGACTGAGTCAATTTCATTGCCTCACAATACAGGAGATCCCATCTTAGAGAGTATTTTGTAGCAAGTTTTGACATTAGATGTGCAGCTTTTTATTCTTGTTAGTGCAGGCATACTCTGGTTCATTAATGATAATGATATTTGTTCAAAACTAGTAATTTTGTTCCAAGACTTATGGTGTTTTGTTCAAATGTTCATCATGATTTTGTTGATACCCTATGATAATCTTTGTATCTCTTTTTAAATTCAGCTTTGTTGAAATTATGGCTCCAGTGTTTTCTCGCGAGGCTTGGAGATGTGTTTGGCATATGATTCAGGTAGCTTTTCGTTTTGGGTGTATATGATTCTGTTCTTTCTAATTTCGATTTCTTTAAACGTCTTGTGATTCAGCCTGTGGTTTTAAAGTTACTTGTCTGACCATATTATGTATTTGCAGAATGACTTGGTTCATGGATGGGGATTGGATTTTGCATTAAGAAGATGTGTGGATGTTAGTCTCTCTCTTCCCCCCCAACAAGAAAAAAAAAGGAAGACCTAGAAATTATAATGTTAAACATTTTCACTTAAAATTGTCATGCCCTAAATGGAAGGAGAAGACTTTTAATGCAAAGCATTTAAAGGAATCATGTTTATATAAGTACAGATATAGTGAGGACCAAGATGTCATATTCCAATTTATGACATTGTGTTGTATTAGCTAGTTCTTGGAAGACCACTGTGTTCTGTTTAAAAATTCTCTGACCTGATTGGGTTTCCCTTGCAGCCTGCACATGAGAAAATTGGTGTTGTCGACTCCCAATGGATTGTACACCAAGTTATCCCATCACTTGGAAGTCAGGTCAGACATCAGGAATTTTTTTTTTTTTTTTCCATGATCGTATTTCTTTTGTTTGGTTAGTAAACATGACTTGCTTGGAGGAAGTTTCCTAAGCGTAATCTTGTAGATTTATTACATCGGCTCATTTTCTCGTCCTTTTACATATATATCATGCCACAATCATGTGTTAATTGTTTACCGATTTTAACCTTTGTCATTAACGCTTAGGGTGAGGCTGAGAATGGCAAAGCGCCAAGGCAAGGGGTACGTATAACTAGATATTCCCACATCTTGTCTTTCAAACATTTCTTGATTATAATTTATTCCAATTGCGATGAGATGGCGACATTGGATTTTTTCTACTTGTGTCTTTGAAATGTTCAAGATTTTGCATAGATGTTGAAGTTTAAAAATTTCTTTGTCGATCTTGTTTCGAAACAAAGAACACTTCTGGAGAATCCTAATGGATATTTTGTAAGGAGATGACTTATAACTTGTAATGCTTGGTGCTATATGTGGTTTATTGGCATAGCTAATGTAATCTTTTGTTTTAGGTACGAGATAGATGCAAACATGAATGGGCCCTTTTCCAGGATCGTATTGCCAGTGCAGACAGAGCATACTTTTCACAGCTTCAGCATCCTTAGCTATGGTCCGATCTCGGCCAATCTTGTAAATTTTTCTTTTCCTTATGTTTTTCCTCTTTGTCCCATTTATCACGAGTGGTGTTTCGTAGCTTGATTCTTTCATGTGAGCTGTTGTTATATCCTATCTCCCTGTAGATACTTGGAATGAGAACTTCAGTTATATGTGCAGAAAAATAGATGATAGATTATATGACTTTTGGTGTACACAAACGAGAATTACCGATTATCCCCCTTAGTGAAATGCATAATTTTTCAGTTTGCATGGTCTTTTGCTTTCATGTTCCTTTTAGGATACAGTGGTTAGCTTCGGGATTCTGACGCCTGGGACTTTAAAGTTCACACATCACATGCTTTCTTTTTCGGAAAATGGTGAGGTTCTCAATTTTCGTCGCATACTTCACTATTTGGGGGCATTGAAATCCAACCTTAAAGAAGTTGATTCTTCAGTCGATTATCCTATCCTACTCGTTAAAATGAGTGGATAATAAAATAGTTTTCGTTCACTTGTTCTCAGCAAGATACCCATTAACACACATTTTTGTTTGTACAACTAATGTTGTCTCCTCTCTCTTTTGTGCATGCATATCTTTTACTAGTCTTAGAATGTTTATGGTCAATTAGACTCGCGCAGGTCATACCACATACTACCTCGCAATGCTTGGTTATGGGGTGTCTGATGTATTTTTAATGCAAATGTAATAATTTTATTGTCCTAGGCAGTACTTGGTATATTTTGTTGAGGAAAATAATTTTATATGTATGTCTATGAAAATCTTGAGATCAAAGCGTAAGACGTTGGATGGTAAGTGTGCTTGGATACAAATATATCTGCTTAAAATGAGTTTATTTTTTTCTTAATCAGGGTTATTTTTGAAAAGGTTGGTATATTTAGTTGTTAGTGGAATTTTGAGTTTATATTAAAATAATATTAAAATAAAATAATTAAAATTGATTTAATGTAAAAATAAGAGAGATGATGTGAAGTGGTGGTTAATTAAAATTATATGAGTGGATGAACAGTGAATTTAAATTGATGTGATGTGTAAGAATGATTATTTGATATTATTTAATTATATTGATAAGATTGATGATAGTAATGTTGAGTTAAAATTGAATTAGATTTTGAGTATGAATTGAGTGTAGATTGAAAAATTTTATAAACAAGTACCCGTAAATGTTTGGTTCCTTCACATTTCGGGGAAGTTGATCAGAGGGTGGAAGAGCAAAAGAGCTGAGTGGTTGCACGTCGTATTATTGGACTTAAAATTTACCCGTGACGAGATATTTTGACTCACAAAGCGTGGAAGTTAAAGTGCATTAAAAAGCATATGGAAGGGGGAAAAATAATTCCATGAGGGTTTTGAACATTATATATAGGCTAATTTACATGTGTGCCGACTGTTTTTTAAAACATTTCTATCTATCTACTATCTCTCTCTTACATATAAGAAAAAGTATGAGTGATTTTAGCGCTGACACGTGGCGATTTTATTCTGACCAAAATATTTTGCGCTCTTTTCACATATGATGCCCCTGCATTTACCATCACAGAAAATACTCTTTGTTTATCTTATCTCTCTCTCTTACATATAAGAGAGAATAAGAGTGGGCTTTAGGCGCTGACACGTGACGTTTTTTTCACAAACACAAATGCCCTCCGATTTTGATATTTTACGATCACTGCCACTGCTATTGCATGAACGAAACGCGTCCCATGGGTGAATTCCCAGATCTACTACAAATGAGCTTCTAAACGACGTCGTATGGCCTTTTCCTTTTTCCCAATTTTTGGGTCTGCTTCTCAATCTTTTGGTCAAACACGCAAAATTAAATGATAAATTATGGATGTGAAAAAATGTCAGGTTTTGCTGCACCCTGTAGATTTGAGCTTAACCGAAACAAATTTGTATAAACCAAAGAAAACAATTCAAAATATTCAAATCGCCATTAGATCTGAGCTTCAAGCTCTAAAGGTTACAAAATGAAGATGAAGGTATTGTTTTTCGTGATAAACCCGTATAAGCCATAATAACCTATGAGGAAACAACACGTGTCTCACTTAAAGAAAGCTGAAATAGAAAATGCGCCCTAATAAAACGAAACACGACTTTAACTAAGACATAAAGAAAACATGACAGTCAATGTCCAAATGCTTGGTACGCTCATGGAAAACGGGGTTGGCCGTAATGTGCAAGGCAGCACGGTTGTCACACCAAAGAGAGATAGGAGTAATTATAGGAAGGGATAGATCTTTGGCAAAAAAGGAAAGCCATTGCAGTTCACAGACAGTGCTAGCCAAGGATCTATACTCTGCTTCCGCCGACGAACGAGAAACCGTCTTTTGCTTCTTAGTTTTCCAAGAGATTAAGGCCTGACCCAAGAAGATGCAATAGCCTGTGAGAGACTTCCTAGTGATTGCACAGCTACCCCAGTCCGAATCAGAAAAGGCCTCCAATTGCTGGGAAGGTGTAGCTATATAGTAAAGTCCCAAATGTGGTGTCCCTCTCAGGTACCTGACCAAGTGAAGAGCTGCATTCCAATGAGCTTGGGAAGGAGCCTGTACAAACTGGCTAAGCTGTTGTATGGCATAAGAGAGATCAGCTCTAGAGAGATTCAAGTATAGCAGTCCGCCCACAAGTCTCCTATAGCCGTTAGGGTGACTGTAAGGATGTGAATCCAAAGATGAGAGATTTAAGCCCTGTGGCAATGGTGTCACCACTGCGTTTGAGTATTCTAACCCCAGATCAGCCACAATATCAAGGATGTATTTCTTTTGACTGAGGAATGTGCCATCAGCTGTCCTAAGAATTTCCAATCCCAAGAAGTATTTAGCCTCCCCCAAATCTTTAATAGTGAAAAGACCATCAAGATAACTCTTAAGATGTTGTATGTCAGCCAAACAAGCACCAATAATCAACACATCATCCACATAAATGATAAGAGCAAGCAATTTGTCACCTGAACCCTTGAAAAACAGGCAATGATCATGAGAAGATTGGGTGAACCCATATGACAAAGTTTATCAGAAAACTCAATATTCCATTGCCTACTAGCTTGATTCAACCCATATAAGCTTCTTTTCAATAAGCATACTTCACCTTCCTTGGCCTTCATGTAACCTCTGGGAGGAAGCATATAAACCTCCTCATCCAGAAACCCATGGAGAATGCATTGTGTATATCAATGTGGTGTAACTCCCATTTATGTTGAGTAGACAAAGCAATTAGCAACCTTACTGAGACAAGTTTGGCCACTGGTGAGAAGCTATCAAAAAAGTCTACCCCTTCTCTTTGTAGAAACCCCTTTGCCACCAATCTAGCCTTAAATTTGTCAATTGAGCCATTTGGATTTCTCTTTATTTTATACACCCACTTTGATCCAATAACCTTCTTTCCAGGTGGCAACTTTGTGAGTATCCAAGTTTCATTCAGTTCCAAAGCCTCGAGCTCCTTGTGCATAACATCTTACCACCTTTTATCTCCAACAGCTTGCTCGTGAAATAGTGGTTCTGTGACTGTTTTGTTAACTGTGGAAAAGAAAAGGTTTGTCTCCTCAGTCTCCGGTATCTCAACCACATAATCAGACAACCAAGAAGGAGGCTTCTTAATTCTGCTCCCCTTCTAAGAACTCCTTCATTGGCAGTCAAATCTGGTAATTCTTGAGTGGATTCTTGTGTCAACCCTTCTGTCTCCTCCATATCATTTATAATTGGCAGAGGAATGGTGTGATCTGTGGTATTAGGAGTGACTTCATGAAAGGGAAATTTTTCCTCATAAAATATGACATCTCTACTGATGAAGATCTCTTTAGTATCAAGGTTGAACACCCTATATCCTTTGATCCCTGAAATGTAGCCCAAGAAAGCACAGCTCACAGCTCTTTCATAAAATTTCCTTTTATGTGGTCCAAGTTTGCTTGCATAGCATAGACACCCAAAAGTTTTGAACATGGCATAAGCTGGTGGTTTGCCATGGAGCAGTTCATAAGGACTTTTCCAAACTAATTTTTCACTAGGTAAGGTGTTGATTATTTGTACAACACCAAGCAAGCTGTATGGCCAGAGTGTCTTTGGTAACTTTGCCTGAAAAGCAATTGATCTTGCCACCTCTAGAATGAATTTTTTTATTTTCTCTACTACTCCATTTTGTTGTGGAGTGTAGGGACATGTCCTTTGATGCAGTATCCCATTTTCTTTCAACAAAGTATTCATCTGCCTGTTGACAAACTCACTACCATTGTCACTTCTCATTTGCTTCACCTTGACTCCAAACTGCACCTCTACCATTCTGAAAAAGGATTTCATGTGTGTGTAAGTTTCTGTTTTATACTTCATCAAATAAATCCAAGTGGCCCGTGTGATATCATCAACAATTGTCAACATATAAGAAACATTCAATGCTGACTCCTCGTGGTGTGGCCCCCATACATCCACATGTATCAACTCAAACTTGTGTGTGCTTTGTATTTGACTGAGAGGGAAGGATAATCTGGTTTGTTTTGATCTGTGACACACATCACACGGGTTCACTTCCTGACTCATATGTGCACCCTTCAAGAAATGCAAGTGTTTCAGACATTGAATGGAGCTGTGTCCAAGCCTCTTGTGCCATAAATTCAAACCCACATCAAGTGCATTGTCCTTACCAACTGCATTGACATATACTCCTTGTCCTTCTATCACATATAAGCCTGCCATTGCCTTTCCCAAGGCTATGATTGAATTTGTTTTAACATCTCTCAATTTGCAATCCCTTTTAGTAAATACAAAGTGCAAATCATCATTTTCCACAAGCTGCCCCACTGATAAAAGATTGTAATTGAACTCAGGTATTAAGAGTACCCCTTTAAGTGTAATCTGATCATTGAACTGCACTTCACCAACTTGAGTTACCTTCACTTTTGTGCCATCAGGAAGGTTTACAATAACAGGAGTTTGGGTAAGTGATCTCTTTGTAAACATTCCAGCTTCACAATAGATGTGCTTGCTAGCACCAGTGTCCACAATCCAGCTGCATTTGTTGAGTCTGCCAGCTAAAGAGAAGGCATAATCCTCCTTGTCATTTGAATGTTCCACAAAATGTGAATATGTGTTGGTTTCTGCCTCTTGTTGTCCTGCCATGTACTTTGCAATTTCTCTCTGAATTAGTACGCTTATATCAGGTAAAGAATCACCATGTTGAGATTTACCCTCTGAGTCCCCCTTTGATGAATCATCATTGTCAGCCAAGTTAACATTTTGAACATGCCTTTGTTCTCGCAGTTCTTTATACCAATCTGGATATCCATTCAATTTGAAGCATCTCTGAACTTCATGGCCATTAAAACCACAGTGTGTGCAGAACAACTTTGCCCTTTCCTCTTTGGATAGCCTTTGACCACCTCTTCCTCTACCAGCATTAACATTTTGTGTAGCAAATCCTCTTCCACCACCACCTCTGCCAAAAGTTTGTGTTCTACCACCATTACCTCTTCCAAAATTGCCTTTAACAAACATAGTTGAGGTCTCCAGTTGGTTTTCAGCCCCTATATACACATTTTTCTGACTTTCAGTATCATTGAATAAGCCTTATTAATGGTAGGTAATGGATCAAAAAGCAGAATTTAGTTTTTCACTGGCTCAAACACCTCGTTTAATCCCATAAGGAATTGCATCAACTTGATTTCCATATCATTTTCAATAAACTTCTTCCCAGATCCACATACACAATCAGGTATAGAAATCAAAGAGGAGTACTCATCCCACAGACATTTCAGTTTGGTGTAATAGGCAGTTACTGTGAGATTACCCTGAGTAAAATTAGC